TTATTTTTTTTGTTTGATTGTGTAGGAGTCTCGTTAATGGAACGTTAGCTCTATGAGATCTCTCCCGCCAAATTGTTTTTGGCGAAGCTTAAAAATAAGTAAATAAAAATAAAAATAAATAGATACCGGCTATACAAGCAATGACAAGGGATACCCTTGGAAAGCGAAGTGTTTGGCCTCTGATTTAAGAACTCAGTCACACAAAATTAGATCATAATTGTATACCCGAAACTTTAAGATTCGCCTGATGTATCGCCATAAAGCAACATACTATTTGTTAAGGCAATGCTCTTTTCAAAGGAATCCCAGGATGGATTCAGATCAGTAGGGAGATAAAAAACAGTTTGGTTTTGACATATACCTCATGAGTAACAGCATATGAAGCATAATTTTATGCGCCGAACATTCATTTTCTCTGCTTGTGTATATTGAACGAATAACACTTTGCTTCACCAACGCAAAGGAAAGCGCAGTGTAGCCGATCTTTCACCATGGACGGTGCAAGTTTCTCTGCCCACAAGCAATAGAAGGGATGGCGCTTAAAGTTACCAAAATTAAAATCGCCAGTTAGATATCGAGATATCAAGATTGGTAGGATTAACATGACGGTGGCTGGTGGACTGTCAGTATCTAAATGCGCTACTGTAAGGTACAAAACAAATAAATTTTCAATAGAAAATTGAAAAGAAAATTATCCTTTATGGCATTGGTTTGATTTTAATAATTAAAAGCCGCGTCTATGCAGCAGGTGAATTACGAGATTTCTAGAGCTAAAGCAAACGCATGTGATATTCAGTGGTTAGAACGTTATAACTTTCTTAATCCCGTAGGTATGAAGGAACGCTTTTCACTCTACTAATTTATTCTTGTTTTTCTCGTCACCATGTCCCCGCTAATAGCGTAGGTCCACTTTCTGCATATGAACACCCACACAACCCACAATTCCTCCATTATCTCTGACGAAGGGCTAACACTCGAAACGTCAGCTTTTTGATTCTTTACGGTGGTCAATTTACAATTTCAACTCAGTTGATAAAACCAAATTACTTTATATAGTCGTGATCTACTACTGAAGACCATCATATAAAACTGACGCTCAGGATCAGGCTTTTCCTTTTAATTCAGCTCTGAGTGCTTGATCACATTTACAGTTTATTTTGACAACATTACGTCTAAGAACTACATGTAGACCAGATAAACCGGGCCTATACAGTTATACCTCCCGATTGTGTAATTTCTGAGTCTTTTTTCTTTTCTTTTTTTATTTTTCGCATTTCCATGAGGCAAATTGCATTTTTATGATACAGCGTCAAAGGCAAAATGTGTCACAAACACAATAAACATTTTTTTCATGTTCACGGACTCCGCTTAAGGAACCAAATGTAATGCAACGATATACAGTATGGTGCTTTTACCAGTTATTTCAAGCAACTCTGCAAATAGCAGGTGGATTGAATGTACTTTTGAGTCCATAAGTCTTAAATGAGTCCAAAACATTTCATTTTTCCAAGTGTGTGGTATCCCATATCTCCTGGACCGGTATCTCCAAACCTGAGCTGCTTCACGGGAAGCTTGGACTTGTCTGTGAGTAAACCGCTGTCCTCTCGCCAGTTTTGGTCATTTCTATCGCAGTTACATCCCTGATTAGGGTCTGCGCATGAGTTGGTCAAGCCGCATGCGCATTTGTAGTCAACAGAATCAACTCCTCCCCAGTACTTCATCAGCTCTCCGTCACGTGACACCCACCAACCGTACATTGCACCATGAAAAGAAAGTAGTACCGATTCGTAACACTCGTACATTATAAACTGCTCATACTGAGCAGATGAAGCTGTCAGACTCGCCAGCTGAAGGAGACTGGTTGCATTGTAATTAACATTGCGCGAATAACTGCCAGGGCCTTCGAACCCATCCACCAAGCTTCTCTTTTCACTGTCGTGACTAACAACTGTCACTCCAACACCGTGCTTTTCAGTCATGTTACAATAAACTGTGAAAGGCTCCACCCCACCTTCTCCATCAGGATCGATCAAGAAAGAACCAGTTTTGGCTTCCGGATGGCAGTCTTTGATGTCACTGCAGGTCTTACTTCCTGAAAAACATACAGATTCAAAATATCGACATTCTACAGACGAAAAATCACTTTCCAGCTTTCTAGCCCAGTCACCATGAATCCTATCAAGTCAACAGAAGCTTTGGTGCAAGAGCCAGGTGACAGATTACATTTATCGTTCTGACTGAATGTTTTGACTTCTTGGAAGTATAAAAGAAAACATCCCAACAACGCCTACCTTTCTCTGTTTCTTATTTCGGGAAAAATATTGCAGGGCAGCAACAGTAAAACTTTGATTTTAACCAGTGATAATTTAAAATCATTATCTCGTTTAAAACATAGGCATGCTACGCATGCAGGAGTTATTTTTTTTGGATATGTGGGTTGAAATGGGACGCTTAGTAACTGATGCTGGTGTCTGAATAGTTGTTGGCAATAATAACCTGCTTTGACACCACGCTTCCTGCAGTCCCCTCCAAAGCCCTAATTTGAACTCGTCACGCAACGCTCTCTCTCCAACGTTGCGTGACGAGACCAAACAACGACCTGCTCGTAGGCTATAATAATGCTTACTACCGCCTCTTCGTCAGAGACAGAAATGTAATTATTCTTCTGGCCGTTAAGGGCCACAATCAGTAATTCCGTTTGGTTTTACCTGTGCAGAAAAATGCACAATAGGCGTTACGTAGCACTTTTTAATTGGCGTAAAGCAGTGTGGTGGACATAGCCTAGGAACGAGGCTGAGTTTTTGCATCGAGTGTCAGTACAGGTAACCCAGGCTCACTTTTTGTCAGTGTTACGTTCACGTGGTTACAGAGAGAACATAGGGGGTGAAGTTTAGGTCTGGAAATTTGTTTGAAAATGGAAATAAAAATCAATGAAACTTACCATGTGGCGATTTGTTGTTGTCCTTAATATGTACACGAAGTTTCGGGAAAAATACTCTCCTTCACCTTTCCTTCAGGTGAAGAAGAGTGTTTTTCCCGAAATTTCGTGTACATATTAAGGACAACAACAAATCGCTACATGGTAAGTTTCATTGATTTTTATTTCCATTTTCAAGCAAATTTCCAGATCTAAACTTCGCCCCATATGTTCTCTCTATTTAACCATGTGTACGTGACACAAACAGTGAGCCTGGGTTACCTGTGATTCGATTAATTAATACGATTGTCTTATGTAACCTTTAGCGATTGGATCTATTAATAGATTAAAATAGCGGACGAAACAACTATACTTTTCTGACAAAAAAAGAGACTTGTGGAAGTCACTGCCACATACCTTAAATTTCAATCAATCAAAAATGCCTTCAGTGATATATCGTTCTGGGGCAAGGAAAACTTCAGAGGTTTGTTATTAGATGTAAGCAGGAGAAATCCTTATAAAAAAAGTCATCGCCGCGTTTAAAAGCAAATTTTTATTGAGCGACCGCACGTTTCCTCTAACGATTTTAGTGTTTCCAATTGTCATGGATGGCATCAACTTGTTCCAAAGTCTTAATCTCAAGAACTCTCCATGATAACAAATAATGAAAAGTACTCGGCAGTGATTTTGCTAAAACAGCAACGCTTTCAATTCGAACCAGTTCATTTCAATCCGCTGACTGACCGCAAATCCGGCCAGAATATAAGTACCGTGTAGCCTCTTGTTAAGTAACAGATAGTTGCCTCAAAATATTCTTCCATATAATTTTGGAGTGGAAAGCTCTATTTTAGCTCCAACAGCCTCTGGACAAAGATGTTTTCCGGCCTCCGTTCTTCGAGCAAGAGAAAATGGACAGAACGAAGAAAAGTGTCGTTTTTCAAAGCATAACAACGTTGTCTATCTGAACTTTGCCCTGTGCGTGCGAAATACGTGATAAAATGCAGGTTGTTTACAGGGAGTTGACACTCAATGGGGCAAAGTCCAAGGTAGCTAAAAGCGAATTTAATTGGTAGAAAACGTCTAAGCATGTGAGAGTTGCGTGGAAAATTGACTGACTGTACCATTATGTTCCTTGAGAAATTTTTCAGCGAGGCAGAATTATGTCATAAAATTTACGTTGTTTACTGGAAAATGGCATTTCATCTGAGAAAGTCTAGTCCATACGGGCGAGTAAAAAGTAAACACGCAGCGGGAAAGTATCGTTTAAATAATATTTCATTCACGGAGAACTTTTAAAAGCAAAGAAACGATATTTGACATGGCAGTCGACGCGGAAAGTAAATAAAACTTGCTGGTCTTTTCAACCCAGTTTACAAAGAGAGCAGCTACTGGGCAAAAAACAAGATCATCAATCAAATAGAATTTATGCAAATGCCTTGCGCACGTTTTACCAGAGTCAGCAAAACTAGCCCTTCCAAAACAACACGCTCTGGTGTTAAATTCGTGTCAGGCCTTTAGCTGACGGTATGTGCGTTATAAGTGAAAGAGCGGTACACAAAACATGCACGTTTTAACTTGTAATTTGTAGAAAAAATTTCCTGACGACCTTTTCTAATCCCGACAGGTCTTAACGATACCGTCCTCACGAAGAACAGCCATCATACTAGGTAGATGAGCTTACAATTCTTATAGATGTCATTCTTACCTCGTTCTTTAAGCGAAATTAAAAATGGAATTCATGTATAGCAATGAAATATCCCTCAGTCGAGAAAAAGACCTAAAGTAAGCGCGGGACTGTGTCAACACTTGGTAAACTTCACCTTTTCTTTAATTATTCTTCGACTTCAAAAGCGCGGAATTACGGGAACACTAGTTTAACGGCCCTCTCGTTATATCATTATACGACTTCGTGAGCGCGGGACTGCGGATGCAATAGTTTAACGGTCATGTCATTTCATCTTTCTTCGACTTCAGGAAAGCTTGAATGCGGGACCACTTGTCCAAATTTCCTCTCTTTTAATATTATTATTCGACATCGGGACCGCAGGAGCAATCCATTTATAACAGTCAATAGCGGCCGGGTATTCTGAAGTTGCTCCTATCAACATCTCAAGCAATATTTGATTCAAAATTTTTCTCATGTTCCACTCAGTCTCCTTTAGAACGAAGAATAACCATAGTGGTACATCGATCTCAACTCCGCTGCTTTCCCAACACGACTGATACGTTTCCTTAATTCCCTAACCCGCTCTCACCGAGTCACGCTTTGGTTCGCTGAAATTTGAAGACCTGTCAAACCACCAATTACCAAGAACGCTCTGATTGGTGCGACATCGAAAAATACTACAATCTGATTGGTTTGTGATACACCAAAAAATTGCGCCAATCACATTGCTTTGAGATACACCAAAAAAAAGGTGCACCCATCAGATTGCTTAGAGATACACCAAATTGCGCTGATCACATTACACTACACCAAAATACACCAATCTATACGCTAACATATAGTTTTTTTTTTTTTAAATAACTCAAAAATCATGAATGGATAAAACGAAAGCTGATGCATAGAAGTACGAAAAAAAACTCGAATAAAAGTGATAGTATAACGTCTACGCCATGGGTTGAGAGAGAGAATTCAATACCTCTTCGTTCGCAAAGAATTCCACAGAATCCAGGCGCACAGTCACAGTGAAAGGAGTTCCGTTCATACTCAGGCACACAGATGCCACCGTTCGCACAAGGAGCGCTTTTACATGGAGACTGGAAAGAGAGTACAAATTTCTTATCAAATCCGTTTCTTATAGATATAATTGAGTATAAAATCCGCATAAATATGAAAGGAGATCTTACCCACGCGTCATAATGATGGAAGGTACCATTCGCTTGGAACATTTTAGTTTCTCTGTACTTATCTGTGGCCAACAACTCACACAGATAAAGGCCTGTAGAGTCAGGATGCGCTGCTATGTTGAACGAATAACACTTTCTTTCACCAACACAAAGGAAAGTACAGTGTAACCGATCTATCACCATGGACGATGTAAGTTTCTTTGCCCACAAGTAAAAGAAGGGATGGGGCTTAAAATAACCGAAAGATATATCGCCTGTTGGATATCGATAGAGAGCGCTGTTCTGCATGGCAAACATCAAGTCAAGTAACGAAGAAAAATATATCAAGATTGGCAGGAGCAGCAGCATGATGGTGGCTGGTGGACTGTCAACATCTGAATGAGCTACTTCAGAGTGCAAAATACTTTAATTTTGTGTAGAAAATTGAAAAGAAAATAATCCTTTATTGTAATTGTTTGATTTTAATAATTAAAAGCCGCATCAATGAAGCAGGTGCAACGTATGAGTGACTAAAAAATTTCCTGAACAGACGAAAAACACATTTGATATTCAGTAGTGCATGTTGACAAATAATGACGTTATAACTTCCTCTCACGAAAACAAGGAATGATACTTGTCATATAGTATCCAAGTCCTCTTGGAGCTCATTACATATCTGTGACCTGTGCAGGGCGTACAAGCAAAATATTTAAAGCAGAATTAGCTCTGGTTTAAAGTAATCTATTAGAACATAATTTACCAAAATGCGTAAAACTATTTTTTTTTTTTGACTCAGGATAAAGTATTTATCAAAAACTTTACCCGTGAGTCGCTATTTGGGTGAAAACATGATAAAAACAGAAAGAGAACGGAAAGGGTGGTTTTTCCAAAGGAATAACTCGCGTTAACCCTTATGTGACCAATGCTTAGGATGTTAAGTTTAGATGAATGATCTTTTCAATATATATCCGAAATCGCTTGAACTCAAGTACACAGGAAGTTTGAGGCTGTAAGTTAGAGCACGCTTACAACACGCTAACGCAGCACGCTTAGAAGAACCAAACGTCTTGGAACAAAGGGGAAAACATTTTTCATTGTTACGACTAGTTTACGCGTTAATTTCTTCATTTCTTGGCGTTTTTGATACCACATTTAGCACACTTAAGAAGCTGTCCGCGTAAGAGCCGACCACTCGAATTTCGGCCGATCACAGAATTCCCTCAAATTTTTACTGTGAGATGTTTGATCTATTCTATCAGCAAAAACTGTATTTATTTGGTTTGTATAGCTATTTTATCCCATTTTTGGCGACGAGATGTAAGGACGGTCAAAAACAAAGAAAATTGTTTATTTCGGAGTCAATTTTCAGCGTTTCGCTGGAGTCTCTAAAAACTTACGCATTTGTTCAAATAACATAAATCGGAAATGTGGTATCATTTTACATTTCTTCTGTTGATTAATAGCAAAATGTATAGATTCTGACCAAACAATTAAGAATTATGCTACTTTGAAAATGCCACACAAACAGCACTTTCCAAATTTGAGTGAGTGTGTTGTTGCTCCAAGACGCTTTTCTCAAAAGCATAGCGGGATCTGGAGTCCTCACCACTATTCGTGTTCAGTGCTAGGGCTGGTGTACCGAAAACAACAACAAAAGTTTTGGCAACTACTCTTTTTTAGCTAGTTTTGAAAATACGTACTGCATACAAATTTCAATCAAACTAAAAGATAATTATGAGAAGACACACAGGGTGTAAGTATCCAGGAGAGCTCCATACAATTCCTTATAATTTCATTATAAGGAATTGTATGGAGCTCTCTGAGATATTTACAGTGCAAGCCCTACGTGTCTTCTCATGGATAACGCCGGCGTCATGTTTGTTCACAAGCCAGCGTGAAGACCGGACGTGAGATGTTTTCATGTGAAGATTTCCCGACCTTATCTCTGAATTTAAGATCAGAGATCTGATTTAAAAGTGATTTTCGTTTGTCTATCCTCCAAAATCAGTTTCGAACCAATAAGCAAATCAAAGGCAAACAATTTAACGAGCCGTCTATTAGAAACTGGCACATTAGAAACATGTCTTAAATCTGTGACAATTTCGGGAAAGAATCAAATCTTTTGATCATGAAATTAAAGGCCCATTTGACCTTCTTTACCAGCGTATTAAGACTTTCACATTTTCAGAGTATAATAACAACTTACATTTTCCTTGTGGACGGAGTTGGGCGTTCTCAGCAAGCTGGATTCGCCGAACATGTATTTACGGTAATGCTGCAAGAAAACCGCTCAACCCTTTTCTATCAATCTAAGCATACATGGGGTCAAATAAGACCCATAACTGTTGTTATTTGTTTCTTGTTGAAATTAAGAGACAAATTATGTAAGTGTGTACATTGCAAAGCTGTTTGAACCGTTCATATAACAACAGATCCCAAAAATTACCGCCTCCCGGTTAGCTCAATTGGTAGAGCGCCGAACTGTTGTGCGGGAGGTCGTGAGTTCAAATCCGGTCGGACCAACACTCAGGGTCTTTAATTAACTGAGAAGAAAGTTCTGCCTGTAATAATATCTGCAAATGGTTAGACTTTCTAGTTATCTCTTTATTTCACCGCCTCCCGGTTAGCTTAATTGGTAGAG